CTATAACAAATGACCACAGATTTAGCAGCATCAAGTAACACAAATTTATTATCTTATGGTTCTGGAGTTGAGAAGTCCAGAGTCTGTCTCGTTGGGCTGAAGTCAAGGTGTTGGCAGGTCTGGTTCCTCCTGGAACCTCTAGGAGAAAGTCGTGTTGAGATTCTAGAGGCTGTGTATAGCTCCTTGCTTGTGCCTCTTCTGTCTTCAAAGTCAGCAGATGAACATCTTCAAACCTCTCACTGAGTCTCTGAACTCGGCTTTCATCATTCCATCTCCTTCGCTAACCCTTCCCCTCCAGCTTCCCTCTTATAAGAGCCTCTGTGATTATTTGGGGCCCACCCAGTTAATCCAGATCATCTCCCCATCTCAAGCTCCTTAGTGTAATCACGTCTGCGCAGTCCTTTTTGCCATGTCATGTCCATGGGTTCTGGGAATTAGGATGTGGTCCTCTTGGGGAAGAAGGACATTATTCAGCCTACCAGAGTCCCTAAAAGTGTTTGGGGGCCAAAGCACTATGCCTACAGTGTTTTTGTTCAGTCGCTTAAGTTGTGTCCGACTCTTCATGACCCCCTGGACTGCAGCACTAATGGATCCGTTGGTCCTAACTCAAAGCACAGATTTAAGAACTATTTGCACCAGAATGTAAAATGCACTGCTTCCTTCATTGAGGAAGTCTTGTTCTGAAAGAATTGTGCTTAGTGACACAGTCTGTTTCTCTCTGTGCAAACTCCTCATCTCCTAGCAGCCCAGCAATGGACAGTGAGGGGACTAGCAGAACTGCGGTAAGTTGATGAGGTGTGCGCTAAATTGCTGCAGGAATCTTTCCATTATTTGACTTGTTCTCTGATTTATGTTGGCTCGGGCTATTCTTGGGTGCTCCTAGGAGCTTGGTCTGTCTTCTCCAAAGCGGATTGTGTTGGTGATAATTTAGAAGGCTGAGGAGCCAGCCTGATCTCTCAGCAGCACTGGGCACTCCGGTGGTGGGGGCGTCTACAGAGGTTGGTCCAGTGGATGAATGGATGCATGAATTCATTCAGATGAACTGACTTCAAATATTGAATGACTCTGGCTCCAACAAGTAAGTGGCCTGTTTATAGGTTGGTCCACAATGGTCTTGGAAGAGAGTAAACAAATAAAAAACTGGGAGCAAAGGCCCTAGGAGCCCTGTGTGGTGGGAGAGGGGGATCTTGGTAGTCTGGTGGTTCAGGGGCCTCCGTGGGGTGGTGCCGAGGCCAGGATCCGAGCTCCTGGGTTGTTTCTCCATGTGCATGGAAGGGGCACCCCAGATTTCCCGAGGTGCGCGGTGGCGGTGCGCTCTCCCAGCGGAGAGCCGGGAGCAGCTGGCTCTGCGGTGGTGGCGGCGGCAACACAGGGCTAAGGAAGGAACGCATGATTTTCTTCTCACTTCACTGATGCCTCTCCATCTGACGTGGCAGGTGTGCGGAGAAGGAACGGTGTGTGAATCGATTTGGAGAGGATCAGTGACACGGCAGCGAGCTGGGCTGCGCCCCTAGCCATCGATCGCCTCCGAATCAATTTGCACGCGGCTCCCCCGTAGGTCACCTGCCAGTTCAGACGGGAAAGGGAACAGTGAAGTGAGAAGGAAATTATGCTGGCAAGTCTGGGGACCCTCTCTCAAGAACGTAGGGGTCAGCCTTCAGCTGCCTTGCATCTGCAGCCTTCGGAGGGGTCTCAACTCCCAGCCCAGCCCAGCCCAGGACCCTGTCTGTCTTGCTCACCTTCAGGGAGGCTGAGCAAAATGGGGCCACTCAAAAATCTATCAGCCTTGAGCTCACCTCTGGGGTTTGGGCTGCCACAGTCATAATCCTAAGAGCTATTTCAGAAAACCCAAATTGCCAACAGTAATAATCTCTCCGCCGCGGGACTGGTTTTCATTTGTGCCTCTCAATGCACTTTACAATTAATTCTCACCAACCTTGGCCTCCCACGAGCCAGGCGCCCAGGGGGAGCCCAGAGGAAGCCTTGGAAGATTCCTGGCTCCCCCATGGAGAGGACAAAGGGCTTCCCCACCTGGAAGACAGGCACTGGGGCCCAAGTCTTCCTCAAGGAGCCAACAGCAACAGCCGTCTCTCCTGAGAGCAGACAGGAAGGCTGTATGGAGTGCTTAGGTGCTGGAGGACGTCTCTGACTCCTGACATGGTCCATCAGCTTTGATTCAGGCAAGAGGCATCTTACGCACTTACCAAGACAGAAAACATGACTAGTGAGCAGTTTCCCAAGATTGTGTCCATCCAAACACTGATGGTGCTGTGGAAATGCTGTCTTCTCTGGAGCTGTGGAGAGAGTGGGGTCCACTGCCACCCTCCTTAGGTCACAGTGAAAGTGTCAGTTGTTCAGTTTTCTGTCCATGGGGTTCTCCAGGCAAGAATACTAGAGTGGGTTGCCATTTCCTTCTCCAAGGGATCTGACTGACCCAGGGATTGAACCGGGGTATCCTGTGTTGCAGGCAGATTCTTTACTGTCTGAGCTGCTAGGGAAGCCCCGGGGATCCCAACAAAACAAACGAAAGAGCACACCTGCCGGCAGTGGGTGCTCAAAACATGGATCTGGCTCAGAAGCCCCTGTGTGTGGAACTGGCCCTTTTCCCAAGGGAAGGGTTTTTATTATAAGTGCATTCCAGTTTGTTGGGCAGATTTTCTAAGCAGTGGGCCCCTTACTGTTACTGATTTCTTTGGTCTACCCTGCCGAAAGCAGGGCAAAGCAGACCTGGGAAGGACACACCCACCCTGAGTTCTAAAGAGAAAACAGGAAAACCAGCATGTCCACCCCCAACCTTGTGCATTTCTTAGACACGCCCAGAACGCCCTCCCTCACTGTGGAGGAAATGCTGATCAAGTTCTTGCTGTCCTTTCAAGTTTCCCCTCCCCACCTCCCTCCTGTGTTTAAGAGATTTCTCAGAGTCCAGTGGCGCTAGTGGTAAAGAATCTGCTTGTCAGTATAGGAGACATAAGAGTCAGGAGTTCGATCCCTGGGTCGGGAAGATCCCCTGGAGGAGGGCATGGCAACCCATACTAGTTATTCTGCCTGGAGAATCTCATGGACTGTGGAGCCTGGTGGGCTACAGCCCATAGGATGGCAAAGAGTCGGCCATGACTGAAGCAACTTATGCGCATGCATGCACGACAGTGAGTCAAGAAGTTCTTACTCACCTGCTCCTGAGATTAGCCCATCTGCTCCAAGCAGGCAGGCGAAGCAGGGCTCCTGAGTGCTCACTGTCCAGACCCAACCGCACACAGGTGCCCATGCCCCCACACACGTGTACACATGTGTACACACATACTCCCCTCTACTATCCCTGGGAGAGTACACACATACTCTCCCTGGGAGAGCTGGATTCTCTCCCAGGTAAGGTCTTCCTGGCCCTACTCTCCCTGCTCTCAGGACTCTAGCTGTCACCATTTACCATGCAGTTTAAGTCTTATGATCTTTCAGGCTCTAAAGCCAGTCCTGTTGCCCACACTTCTTCCATCCCAACTGCAAGGATGACAATCTGTTTGCCTCATCATTTTCCGAGACCCCACAGAACACTTCCAGGTCAATAAAGAACCAGCTTAGAGTTTGGTTCAACAAAATTGAACCTGATCCTGATTGACCAAGAGGGTAATGATGTGGTTCTTGCCTGGGGGAGTTCCAGGCCTGGTGCACATGTGGAGTTCCTTGGCTGGATTTAATGCTTTCAGGGGCCCATTAAGTGACTGGGGCCATCTCCTAAGGCCCACATCCTGCAAGTGTGTCACAGAATCAAGGCTGCGGAGCGTGGAAGGAGCTTAAGTATAACCAGCTCTAACTTGGTGTGTGTGTGTGTGCTCAGTTGTGTCTGATTCTTTTGGACCCCATGGACTGTAGCCCACCAGGCTCCTCTGTCCATGGGATTTCCCAAGCAAGAGCATTGGAGTGGGTTGCCATTTCCTCCTCCAGTGAATCTTCCTGACCCAGGGATCGATCCCACATCTCTTGGGTCTCCTGCATTGGCAGATGGATTCTTTACCACTATGCCACCTGGGAAGCTCTCTAACTTGTTAAGTGGCCTCATAGGCTAAACTTGTTGGAATCCATGCTGGAAAGTGGGGTTAGATGGTTAGAAGATTGGGTTGGAGGGAGATAGACTATCATTTCTGAGAGCTTCAACTCTACTCCAGCCTTCTAAAATAAGTCAGTGGGGTGGTCTGTGGTTAGGGTTCCAAACTTAGGCCCTGGGATTTGATCCCTTGGTCAGGAACTAAGATCCCCCAAACCATGTGGTGTCACCAAAACAAAAACAAAAAACAAATTAAAAACATAAAATAAGCCAGAGGGTAACTACTCCTTTTCTGCTAATCTCCCCCAGTGAGCATTTTCTGAGACAAAAGCTATGTGAGAGGAGTTTAGTCAACAAAGAGACAAGACACATTTTGCATCCCCACTAAGACTACAAGAGACTCACATGCTGAACAGGGTCATTCAAGATGAGAAAACCTGTACTTGACCATACTTCATAGAAAATGATGGTTAATTCCATTTCTGGCACTTGGTGAGTTGTCCCTGGAGGCCCAGGGTGCCCAGAGAGCAGTACCTGGAATGTTTAATGACTGTATTTACTTCTCTTTGGCTTCGCATTTGCACATGGTACACACCACAGACACATTCTATCTACCATATCTTTATATTATTAAATGCTTTAGTTTCATACAGGAAATACATGCACATCCTATAAAAGTCTAGAGAATCAGGAGCCACCCTCTCATAATCATCCCCTAGATACACAAGTCCCTTCGGTCACCAGGGCAAAGTACTGTAACCAGTTTCTTTTGTGACATTCTGGAGATATTCCATTCCATTCATATGCAAACAACTATATTAACAAATATTAGTGATCATAGCTATTGGGTATTTTTAATCGTTGTACATAGACAAGTGTGTCCACTTTCCGCTACCTTTTCTGCTGGCAATGGCTCAGCTACATTTGTCAAGAGTGGTCATGTGTTTCCCTAACACACAGCATGTCTAATAGAACGCGTCATAGCGGGTCTAGCAGTCGCCTCCGCGATCACACCGCGGTCCTCACGAGGATTCCGGCCAAGCTCGGTGGTTCCAGCCGTGCGAGGGTCGCGCCGCGCCTCCAGGGGCGCAGTGCCAGACTCCGGCCGCACGATGGCGCGCGCTTCCTGCGGACCCGGCCCTCGGCGCGGCGCAGACAAAGGCGGGCGTCCGGCCTCCGTCGCGGGGCCGCGGAGGCGGCGGGCGCCCCGGGTGGCCGCGGCCGCGGCCGCCCCTGCGCGCCGAACCTGGCAGCTGCCGCCTGCCTGAGCCTTTGTCCTGCGCTGCCCGCCCTCGTGCTAAAGGACACGGCGGGAGGCTGCTGGGCGCACGCGGCGCCAGCCGGGCATCCACCCGCGTCCCGGGCCCTCACACCCCCCACAGCTCGGCCCCACCTGAGCTTGGGTCATGGTCAAGAAGCTGGAAGCGCGGGAGTGTGAACCGCCCCGAATGCCTGCCCAGGAAGCTTCTTTTCCCTTCCACCCGTTAGCAAAGAATTTGCCCCAGAATTCTGTACCATGGAGGTTTTTCACCACTGCCCTAACCTCCACCTCCCACTTCCCATTGAAATTCTATAGGGCCTGGGTGTCACGTCTGCAGAGGAGATGCTGGCCTTTAGATTTGAGTGGATTTGAGTGAAAACCACGAGCTCGAGCGTGGGGCCTGGCTTCCCCAAGCTCGTCTCTGCAGGCTCCGAGAAAACTTCCCTCTCCTGTCCTCACCTCCTCTACTCCCACAGTCCAGAAGTAGTTTCTGTGATGATGGAAGTGTTCGGCCTCTTCCCTGTCCAGTATTTGGTAGCTGTTCGGAGAAGGCAATGGCACCCCACTCCAGTACTCTTGCCTGGAAAATCCCATGGACGGAGGAGCCTCGTGAGCTGCAGTCCATGGGATCGCTGAGAATCAGACATGACTGAGTGACTTCACTTTCACTTTTCACTTTCATGCATTGGAGAAGGAAATGGCAACCCACTCCAGTGTTCTTGCCTGGAGAATCCCAGGGATGGGGTCACACAGAGTCGGACATGACTGAAGTGACTTAGCAGCAGCAGTAGCAGCAGCCACATGTTACGATTGCGTGCCTGAAGTGTGGCTGAAGAACTGAATTTTTCATTGTATTTAATCTTAATGAACCTACATTTCCAAAGCCACCTGTGCTCATGTATGTGTAGGTCCATTGCTAGCCTCTTGGACATGCAGCTTTAAGAGCTCAAGTGGATCCAGGCGGTTGAATATGCAGTTATGTTGTTAAGAACACAATTTTATAAAAATTCAAAGGAAGCATGGAGTGTATGCCTGTTGCACCTGAAAAGATGCCTGGGAGTAGCTGATGGAGAGAGACAGTGGTGTCAGCTGAGTTTGTTTTGGCTGCTTAGGGAGATGCCTAGAGGATGCACTGTCTGTGGTAAGGTGACATGGGAAAGAAGGCAAAGAGGAAATGGGTCCTTTAATGTCTTGCTACTGTTGCAAATGGGACAAGGTGGTCTCAGCCTTGGGCTATGTTTACAGAAAACTGGGGGGTCATAATCACCATCCTGTATTAAATGGCTAAGTATACACATCCTATACACTGGGCTTCCTGGGACAAGATGATCAGACCCAGAAGTAACCTTGACAGAGTTTGGGTTCTTCTGCGGTCCTGTCTGCTTGTGATGAGGTACAGAGGAGGGCCTGCATCTGCTTCACCAGCCAGTGACGGCTGGGGCGATGGTGCTGCTGTCTTCCTTGGATGTGTGATGACTATGGAGCAAAGACAGTGCCTTGTGGGTCCCCGGAGCATGTATCTGTGGGATGCAGGACAATCCCACAGGGAAACTGGAGGGTTAGAAGTGCTTCTTCATGAGCAGGATGTCTTGGGTTGCATACCATCTTCTCACTCATCATCAGAGCATAGTTCAATGTAAAACTCACACGTTTACCTGCAGCAGCAATCAGAAGGGTTCTGGTACCTTGAGACTGCCTAATCACCTGTGTTCTCCAAGAGTGTTAACCAACCAACAACTTCATTTATTTTTACTGAACATAAACATTTACACCTGTGTAGGCGCCTTGGTCTAGTTCCTTGAATGTTTCCAATAAGCAATCCAGTTAGATGACTATTTTTTCTAAAATCTGAGGTGGAAGCTCCCTTTGAATTTTTTTTTTTTTTTGGCTGCACTGGGTCTTTGTTGCTCTTCGAAGCCTTTCTCTAGTTTTGGTGAGCGGGGGCTACTCTTCATTGCAGTGTGCAGGCTTCATGTTGCAGTGGCTTCCTTTGTTGCAGAGCATGAGCTCTAGAGCGTGTGGGCTTCAGTAGTTGTGGCTTGCAGGCTCTAGAGCGGGCTCAGTAGTTGTGGCGCACTGGCTTAGTTGCCCCATGGCTTGTGGGATCTTCTTGGACCAGGGTTCAAATCTGTGTCTGTTGCATTGGCAGGCAGATTCTTAACCACTGGACCACTGGACCACTGGGGAAGCCCTTAATCTTCTAAATATTTTCATGTGTGTGTATATGTCTGTGTGTATGTGTGTGGGTGGGTGGGGAATGGAGACAAATGGAGGGAAGGGGGCAAAAATCGATCAAGGAATTGTGTATTATCTTTTGAGGATTCAGTGTGCCCTTTCACGTATGGTATCCAGAAATAGACCTGTGAACACCGACGTTTTGTTTGAACTAAAGCTGATGGAGGTGTCCTGGCAGAGCTCCTTACCCACAGTAGGCACAGAATAAATATTTGGCGAATTTTTAGTGAGAAGGGAAAATGGGTCATAATTCCATATCCAAATGATCTTTGTGGGTTGTCCATCCCTTTTTATTTTGTTTTGTTTTTTTTCCTCCTGGAGATGTTCCCGACCACAAATAAAGGACAAGGGGAAAATAGTTAAGCACACCTAGAGCTGCGTCCAAACAAAAGAGGAAAGAGACTAAACAAACCCAAGGTTTTCTATTTCTCCCTGAGCCAAGTAATCCCTTTGATTACATCTAATACCTGCCAAAACCCAGATGGTGTGCCCACCCATCTCCCGTGTGATAATGCCACATTGTGAAATCTACCCATTAATATTAATTGTCAGCTAGAGAATCTGTCTGAACTACTAAAGCTTGAGATTGCCTAGAGAAAGCAGGCCCTGCTTTAGCAGGGATTTTAAGATAATTCTCATTCTTTCATTCTGGATCTCACATATGTAGAATGCTAAATAATAGCCCGAGAATGTTCGTCTAATTTCGGCACATGTCTGCCTCTCACAATCCAGGTCTTAAACCACTGTTCATTTGGGGTCTACACCTGCTGACCAAAATATTGCCTTAAACTGCTGTGGGCTTGCCATTGGCGCATAGGCACCCACTGTTCACCCTGAAAGAGAATTGTAACTCCCCAGGAGCTGTTTGAATTGAATGTCCCCTAGCATGTGACGCTCAACTCTTTCCCTTTTATTTTCCTCCTTCTCAGTAATTGACTTGGTGATCCTTGAAAAGTCTTTCAAAATCTCGGTTTTTCAATGACTGTGCAGGCCTTCCTGAGCAAGGAAGGCAGAGGCAGAAGAGAAGGCCTGGGAAGAGAACCTGAGGTCCAGGTAGGTCTGGGGGCATTGCTCCTGCCTTATAATCCCATGGGCAGCATTTGGTTTGAGCCCTGATCATGAACAGACATCCAGGTCAGCTCCACAACTCTATCTTTGCTTCTACATCTCCACATTGAAATGTCTCCGCATTGCAGCCTCCACTGTGTTCACTGAACTTTTTATTATTTTTTTTCTTAAGCCGCAAAATTTTAGAATCCATTTATGCCTGAAATAGATATGAAAATTTAGTAGGTGTGAGATTGAGTTTTTCCTCTGGAGTCGCCCCCCCTTATCCTCACGGGTTATGGTACAATCGCCTTCTGACAGTTGTTCTTAAAGCCAACACCTTAAACTTTATGGGTAAATGCAGAATCCAGCCCACGCCTTGTTTTTGTTTTTGCAGGGAGCATACAGAGCTGGCAAAAACAAATGAATTCAATATTCTATGTCCCATGTTTCAGGAGGGCGCTCTCTGTCACCCTGAGCTTGATGTCCAACTCCGGCCAGACCTGTGGCTACACAGGGTGGCTGACTGACTGGGGCAGAGGGATACCAAATGAAAATTGGAAAGTCTGTTCTTTTGGGTACATGAATGTTTATTTCACAGTCCTGACAGTTCTTTTATTAGCAAATATTAATTTCAACTGAACAAAACTGGAAGACCTTCCTGGAGCAGCATGTCTAAATAGGCATTGAGATAATTTTAAAAACACCTATTGGTATGTAAAGCAACCTTCCTCATGAAAAGATGTAACTACACAAGTGGCAGAAGCCAGTTTACACAGCTAAATATTTTGATTATTTAATTTATTACCATTATTTTACAAAATGGAAAAAAAAAGCCATTGAATTGCAATTTTGTTCCCATTTCTGGCCAACTTTGCAATTCTGTTATGTGAATGCTGCTTTTGGGAAGAGATGAAGAATGAGACAGCAAATGGCTTTTTCCCGAGTGAGTCATCTCCTCTTCTCAGCCGGTGTGTAGAGGGCTGGTGAAGGTGCGTTCAGGCCCCAGGGCATGAGGAGACAGGTCATGCTGGGTGTTCCGTCAGAAGGAATTGTTGACCAGTGGTGCATCTCCACTTCTGTGTCACCTGCAGATTGTTCTCTGCCTCCCTCTTGGACAGTGTCCGAGGAGTGGGGTGCTCACAGGGTGAGCAAAAGCTGCTTTCTGATGTCACAGATTGGGACAAGTTGTTATAAAGGCACCGAGAAGCAGAAATTAGCGCTTTTAAACTGAAGGTGAATCACAAGGCCTATTTCTGCCTCAGGCGTTTCTGTTCAGCCATTTATAACGACCAAGATTAACTTTTAAACACATCCATTCTTTACACAAATAAAAGTGGGAGGTGTCTCCAGTCACTTTGTAAAACCGAAATGCTGTCTTGGAGAGTTTATTTCACGTGTGTGTGTGTGTGTGTGTGTGTGTGTGTGTGTGTATTTATCTACATTTTATTTATTTATTTATTTTTAAATTTTTGGCTGTGCTGGGTCTTCACTGCTCCGCAAGCTTTTCTCTAGTTGTGGTGTGCGGGCTCCTTATTGTGGTGGTTTCTCTGTGGAGCACGGGCTCTAGGATGTGCAGGCTTCGGGCGTTGCAGCACATGGGCTCACCCGTTGCAGCTCCTGGGCTCTAGGGCACAGGCTCAGTAGTTGTGGCTCATGGGCTTAGTTGCTCCGAGGCGTGTGGGATCCTAGGTCTCCTGCGTTGGCCTGTGGATTCTTTACCACTGAGCTCCCAGGGAAGCCCTTATGTACATATTTCTAAATGACCAAAATTCAGGTTATTATGGTGTTTAAAAGAATTTGCTGGTAGGATCAGACCCGAACATTCCACGCTTAGCTCTGAGCAGATTTTTATGACCTGCTTAGAGACCTTTGAAAAATACACTTAATTATTA